AATGCGAAAACATGGAGCTCAGGAGCAGGACAACGTTATCATCGCCCTGATTTTGTTCCAAACGCGTAGCCCGTTAGAGGGCGAGGTACGTCATTCTACAGAGGATCTCCTTTTGAGAGCCAGTTCAGGCTAACGAATAATGTGAAAACATTTAGGCTTCAACCTCGCCAACCAAATGTATGGCATTCATTCCAATATAATGCAGGGAGGGTGACACCCTTCAATGAGATGACTAGAGCCCAATAAAGGCATTTTCAACAGAACTATGGACGAATGATGAGGCAACAATAGGGATTACCACGTCCTAAGGCGCCTAAGCTACTCGAGGTGGCCAATCAAAATGTTCTCAAGGATAGTGAAGAGATTGGTACAGGTGAATCGATGAGAGAATTGTCAGAGAGTTCTTCTGGGAGATCGAAGTTTGAGCGAGACAGAAGGGATGAAGAAGATCCAGATCAGCCCCTTACTATTCAGTTCGATACGTTACCTCCCGTCATGGCTAATAACTATTTGCTAGCCAACGAGTTCAAGAACAAAGAGAAAGAAGAAGAAAGAGAGGGTAACGAAGAAGAAGCATGTGTGCTGGAATGTGAAGAAGATCAAACTTCCAGAAGGGCCTATGATGATGAAGAGGATGATGGTATGACAGACATTGAATAGGAAATTGATCTGGAGATAGAAAGAAGAGAGAGAGGAGTATCGCGTAATACTCTGTTGAATCAACTACATCGAGAGGGAGTTCGTAAAGTGGACTTGTTGGGGGAACCATTTGGGTGTTCTTTCGATTATTATGTGCTGTACGAGACGCCCAAGAAGAAAATGAGAGTATCTCGCTCTGAAAAGTATGGATCACCTCCAAGAATATTGCCTCTCCCACGGGTTAGGTAATTGGAAAGGAAGTTTTGGAAAGTAGTAAAAAGAAAGTCCAGGAAACAGAAGCTCAGTGCGACATATGGCACGTTGACTTATCACAAAAGGATAGTTCAACAGAGGACAAGCAAGAAATGGAAATAAACGCTGTCGAAAATGTTATTTTTAAAAGACCTGCCATGAAGTTGACCAAAAATTTGAGGCCATTGTATATTAAGGCTCTAGTTAACGGTATACCTGTGGCGAAAGTACTCATTGACAATGGAGAGCTATAAACATCATCCCATCTAGGATGATGAGGAAATTTGCAAAGACAGAAAGCGATATGATCCCAACAGAAGTTATTCTCACAAATTTTAAAGTAGGAGGAATTTCAACTAAAGGGGTAATGCCACTAGACATAATCATGGGAACATCTAGGATGATGAGGAAATTTACAAAGACAGAAAGTGATATGATTCCAACAGAAGTCATCCTTACAAGTTTCAATGTGGGAGCAACTTCAGCTAAAGGAGTTATGCCATTGGACATACGGCTGGGCAAATTATCCGAACCGAACCGAGCGGATTTTTTAAATGAAATACCCGAACGGGTATCCGAATCGATAACCAAATGGTTTGGTTAGGTTCTCGGTTCTAGACCCAGAATCGAAAAATCGAATAAGAACCGAATTTTTTTTTTTAATATTGGATAAATTAATTTCTTTTATTTTTTCTAAACAAATTAATAATTTTTTTCTTATTAAATCTTATTAGTTGAACAATTTAGAGTTTATTTATGTTTGTTAGTTGTGTTTTTTTCAATTTTTTCTTATATAGTTTCTTAATAGTTAGTATGGAAAGTCAA